GATAGAGACCATGGTCTTCCTATGCTATTTACACGGATATATAAATCGATGCCGTTGCTGCCAGTCACACATACCTTGCAATATACAGCAGATGGAAGCAAATGGTTAACACAATGGATTGAACTCCAAGAAGAAAAACAGGTATGGCGATTACGACAGACCCAACTTCAGCGGCAAGAACAACAAGATGAGTTCGATCGCATCATGGAAGAACATCTCTGGTATCAACTTAATCAATTAGAAAAACAAGAAGAAGAATATTACAAAATGGAGGAAGAAAAACTGCGACATAAAATCATTGGCATGACAGTTTCTACAAAGACATCGCCAAAATGCCAAGCATGCGACAGAAACTAGCGCAATCGAGTTGCCTTATTCGTCTTGTGTTCGTGTTGTTTTCTCCTTTATATAGATTGTCAATGATTCCTATAGTCATGTATTCTATTGCCATACATATCTTACATGCTTTACCAATTGCTCAAATTTTCATTTTAGATTTCTACTACATTTCTTTTTCATTCTGATAAGCAAAATGACTGATACAAATAACGACGTAAGACACCAAGTAATCCATTACTTACACTTCTTTCTTATGGTTTGTTTATCGCTCTTCTTTTAGAATGATTCTCTGACAACGGCGAACTTTGATAATGATAATGACAACTCCATCAACGACGCTCATGCATTGAATTCATTGGCACCTGTAGTTAGGGAAACAGGAAACCAAAATCGATTCGATGTACAGCTACCTGACACCATACCTGAAGTAAGTAATGACGTTTATTGTACAGAAATTTAGAATATCTACAATATATAACGTTCGTTTTTCTCTTTCTCTAAAAAAAAACAACAGAACAACATAAGTCTATTACAAAGTGGATCGCAATATGTCCGTCAATTATCGACATTTAAGCGATCTCCGACGGAGACAAAAAAGCAGCATATCGATATTGCCATCTCGGCAATCTTACGATCCCTTATGGATACTTTAGAAAAGGAAGATACTCCGATTTATTTACAACGAAACAATCCTGCGCTACATAATATAATGCAAAGCACAACGTCGAACACCATGACACCGATTACTATCGAAGATATTCGACAGATCGCAATTCAAATGCATCAACTAAGAAACATCGCACTTGAAAAAACACTATGGTTGACATTCTTCAAATCGGGTACAGGTATCTTAAATTCTGAACAACCCACTTACAAACTATGGCCACCATTATTCAAAACTATCATACGACGAGCTTTGCAACAGTCAAATATAGATCTTGAAGTGACAGATATGCTATGTTATAGTGGCGCTTATTCTCATCAACGTCGATTAGAAGTATGGTTTCTATCTCACGAAGAAAACTTGTCCAACAAAGCAAAATTCATACCCAATTTTGAATTGAATATTAAACCATGGCTTGATAATTTCATTCAGCAACATATTCGTCCATTAGAATCGGACTACGAATATAAAATTGCATTAATTGGCTACGATTATGAAGATGAACGATTAGCTTATGAAATTGAACAACAATCACATGTACTCACAGCTAGTCAAGTAAGACCTGTTTTATTTATTCTGATGCAAGATATCCCATGAGAACTATTCCTATGCTACACTTTTTGGTACACATTTATTTTCTTATAGAAACGTCTGATCGAAAGTCTCTGTTATGGGAAATCACAATATGAAAAAGCAAAAATGGAAAAGAATTTATCACAGCAACGTTTAAAAGAAAAAAAATTGCTCAAATCATTGACATCTATTGATATACCATGTGTCCCTTGCATTGAAACAATTGTCAATTCAACAAAACGTCAACAACTTATTTATCGACATCAGAAAATATTACAAGATTATAAGAATGAAATGATGAATTTATTCAATAATATCGCCGAAGAATTTGTGCATGAAACAGAAATTTTGTTTAATCAAGAAATGGCTACATTCTGGAAAGATCAACATTCTCTTCCTGCTTATCAACGATTTACTAGCAAAACATTAAATCTGATCGAACACCGTCTATCCACTATTGCCGAGAAAATGAAGTTTATTCATTACGATCAATACCAAGGATTGGACAATAACATTAGCCACATTTAAGACAAATCGAATCTTTTGATATAACTCCGAAAAACTAGAGAACTCTTGCTGATGAATATAGTAGGAGATTCAATGGTTGCATTCATTTTTTTTCCTCTAGCATTCTACTCCCAGTTTAGTTTATTTTCATGTTGTGAGAGACCTATCTCTAGGCATGCTATTAGCATCCGTGTTCTTTTTTCTTTTTTTTTCTTTTTTGTTTTTATTGAATTCAATTTTCCGTGACTGTCTGCTTGTAATAGAACTTTGAATAAATTTCCAACTTATACGTTCGTAGTGTAATAA